ATATAATTTTAGACTGAATATTGGTCTCCTGATCAATTAAATCAAGCTAATGATCAAAAAACAAAAGCCAATTCAAGTAAAGAAAAAGTATTTCAAAATCGTTTTTGTGTACTCAAAAAGTGAGTACACTCTAGAATCGGTCAGTGTGTCCGGCCGTCCGGCCGGCCGTCCGGCCGTTAACACGATAACTTTTGAAAGGAGAGTCCGATCACGATGAAATTTTCTACACAGTTTAGTCTTAACAATATCTCGGTCGAGTTCGAAGATGAGCATGATCGACCGAGCCATTCGTGAGTTATTGCAAAAATAGTCATTTTTCCCTATGGCTTCCTATGCGAAAATCGACCGATCCCAGCTTTCGTAAACAACTTTTCCTATCATAGTTAAATAAAACCCCAACTATTATATACCATTCGATAGAGAATTTCACGAGCTACAAAATGGTATATAAAACATAAAGAAACAAGAAAGCTAACTCACCTATTGCAAAGATAATTAAACGGAATTTGGTTTTGTTCTTGTCCACGCTCTAATTGATCTACAATTAGAGCTCTATCTTCCGATCATACAGATGATAGTTCGAGGTTTTCTGGGGTGGAGAACTCGAATATGTGCTCCATTCGCCTCGAAATTCCATTGGTTGAGCAGTAACCAATAGCAATCAAGTTATAGGAAAAAAGACTTTCTTAGGGTAAATCAAGACGAAGAGTTCAAATCTGAGCTGTATTTACCCCAAATCCTATTGGTTGAGCAGTAGCCAATAGAAATCAAGTGTTTATAGAAAAAGTTTGCCAGGATAATTTTTATGTCTCCACATTCTAGGATGACTCATCTGCCTCATTCACTTTTTGAAGTACACATAACTCTCGGATTTAAATCCGAGGTTTCCACATTTATTTTTTATTGAAAATAAATCTAAAATAAAATTAATTTTTTTTCTAGAAAAGTGAAAGTCCAGTGAAAAAAAAGAAAATCGAAGATTTAAGTAAATTAGTTACTATTAAAGATCCAATTGAAACAGTATTAGCAGAATTTCATGTTGAACTTCGACCATTTCTTGATGGAGATTATCAAGTTTGTTTTCAATATAAATCTCCTATTGAACAATTACAACAACAACAACAACAGCAATTAACTGATTCAATGAATCAAACAAAATCAGGTAAACAAAAAGATGGCGAAAAAAGTGATCCAAGTAAAGATAAAAAACGTTCATCAGCTTCCAAATCAAACCAAGATAAAACAAAAGATCAATCAAAAGGTTTTCTTTTCTGGATTTATTTTATGAATATAAAATTTTATTTTAATTTAGATAAAAAACAATCTAATGCAAATGAAGCCGATTTAAATAATTTACCTCAACCACTTCAATGTTCTATTCAATTTCAACTTCATCGATTTGTTTCAGAACAACAAATTATTTAACTTTATTTAGATTTATTTATCTAATTTTTCATTCGACATTATTTTTCTTTTTTTGAAAATAAAATTATACATTAATTATCATTATTCAAATATACTCTATTATGAGATATATTTAATATACATAAAAATCAAATATAAATAGATTATTAGGATATAATCCATTATGTGATTTTCTAGGAAAATTCAAGATCTGTTGAATATACAGAGTGGGTAAAAATATTTTTCCAGGTGCATAACACTATTATTTCAAATGGCATACATAAATAATTTTATACCAAATTAAAGTGCATCGAAAATGAGATTTTTTTTAATACTAAATTGTAAGAGTCATGTCGAACTTAGGAAATTTTATGTTTTTTTTAAGATAGAAAACAAAGGTGTAAGTGATTCAATAGAGCTTTACATAACTGTATATATTAAACATTTTCGAAGGTCGTTTTCTAACATAAAAAACTATTTGGAAAATGCTAAAAAACTAATGTTTTCTCATTATTTTCGCTAACAGAGACGTTTCGAAATGTAATCACTAGACGCAGTGTTTCACGGTGTATCTGATGGTTACATTTCGAAACGTCTCTTTTAGTGAATATAATAAAAAAAAACTATTTTTATTGAAAAATCGAGTATATGTTAGGGATGTCATATTCCACTTACTCTTACTAGTAAGTGGTAATTGGCACTGCTTACCACCTACCACTTACCGGTAAGTGGTAAGTGATGAAGATTACTATGCGAGAAACAAAATCAATCAGTAAAATAATTATTTATTGGTTCTATGTCGATAATTTTTCGATAACTACAACACTTACCACTTACCTGATAAGTGGAAATGGTGGTAAATGGTAAGTGTGACACTGTTTTATAAGAAAGCCACTTCTAGATGGCTGTTACCAAGTGATAGACCACCTCAAATAATCCAACCAAAGCGACCGAAGGAAAAACACATGATGATCTACTTAGATATGCGCTAGGCTTACAAGAAAACCGTTCGAAGTGATTCACCGCTTTTGAGCTCATATTTTTGGGATATCGAGAGGATATCTAGACTAGAATAATCCTTAAAGGACTCGGCCTCATGGCCTTCCTGTCTTGAGACATTTCATTTTCAAGTTCTTGGATAACACAGCGTTTTTGATCATATATCGCTGCATCATACCACAAACGAAAACCTATCACAAGCTGAAAATTTTCTGATAAACTACATTATTGTTATGGCCATCATCAGTCTTCTTCATAAATGACAGCGGTCACGCATTGAATTATCTTTGTACTACTACTTATATTCGAAATGTTACGATCAAGGAGATCAATAGAAAATATTTATGTATGATAGTGATAAGCTTCGAAAAAATGCTCGAAGCAAATAAATTTACGACAGTAACTGCGTTGAATAAAGGGTAACAAATGACAGTTCGACTACTGACAAAAGCTACCATTGACATTAAAACAAATTTCGGTGACGGACTCGAAATCTCCTGGATGTTGATCGACGTAACCTGCTGCGAACCATGAATACTTGTCCATAGGTATGAGCAGAGATGAGAACAGCTGGTTGTGAATCAGAGAATTTAAGCGTATTATATTGTTTCGGTCAGATAAGTTAATGGCAATATCATAGAGTTGAATATGATTGAAAATACGTCGAGCAGTCAATTTCGATTATCTTTTGAAATAAACACCGACTGATTGGATGTGCGACGTAGTATGAGCAGGTATTTCTAGTCTTTTACATCCTTTAAAGCCAGAGTATATATCTCAATTTCGTTGACTGTATCAATAATCCGAGAACAAAATAAAATTTCCTGGAGCAAACGGGCGAAGAATGATCCATCTAGTATTCTACCAATGAAGTGGCGAACTTCTCTGAAGAACTGCATGTAACAACAACGTTTGGAGCAGAAAAAATGTGTTTTTGATATCTAATAAAGGACATATCCTGTTATTATGTAAGAAACATGTAGTCGGTCAAGTTACTGTCGCTCATCTTCCGCTTTGGCTCCTTCAAGCAAAGAAAGACGGAACCAACGAGTTTTCCAGCAAGAGATATCATTTTTTGAATAATTTAAGAGTGCATTGTGACATTCTTTGACTTTGCACGAGCCAAAGTAAAATTTTCACCCTTATGTGAAAGTGGTCTAGTCGAGTGAAGTTCAAGTTCCAGGCCAACCTGATCAGTATTTTAAATTTCTTCAGGTACATAGTACTTCATCTCCCGTTTCACATCGGCTAAAAACGAATCAGCAGATGCAATGATAGCATCAGAATTTTCTGCATAATGACAGGTCACTAGTTTCGTGATTTTGCTCGAACAAATACGGTGGTGATCTTTGAAGACTCGCAGCTAATATTCGAATGCTTCAAATGTAAGAACAGAATCTTCAGCAGCTTTTTGAAGTGTCCATCGTTTCAGATCTCAATCGTGGACAGAGAGAAGAGCGTCTCGAGCTTCTTCAAACTTGCCATAAACAAAATCATCAATAACTTGTATCTTCGCTCGTTTTGTACCACCTTGTTCTATGTAATGACGGAAGCGGGCAACATATTGTCCGTGAGGAACGAATTTGAACCGATGCTGTGTCGACTTCCACCTGTAATTTCTTCTTTCCTTCGAATCACGATCATCGTAATAATCAATAACTTTTTCCATGTAGTCGAGACTGAAGGTCAGTTTAATCAGAGACTTTTCAGCTTCCGTAGTCTTATCAAAACATGAGATTAAGATTTTCATTTTCAGAAGCAGTATTTTCATCTTTAAACTCACTAAATTCTTCGTCATCGTCGTAATCAAGGATCATGTCTGAATCAATTTCGATCGAGGTACATTTTCAAACCTTGTCAATTACTTTTAACAATGCACTATTTATTTCTTCCTGACGTGGATTTGTTCGGGATCGTCGCCGGTACGGTTCTTCATTTTCAGTCACTCAATCAACTAAAAACTTCGCAATTCTCATAGAACTAATCATCCTTCTAGTTACA